ATGGTGACCCCACTACCTCCCTGGGCAGCCTGTGCCAATGCTTGACCGCTGTCTCAGTGAAGAAATTTTTTGTAATATCTAGTCTGAACCTCCCCTGGTGCAACTTGAGGCTGTTTCCTCTTGTTCTATTGCTGGTTACTTGGAAGAAGAGACCAACCCCCACCTCACCACAACCCCCTTTCAGGCAGCTGTGGTGTGTGAAGCAGCGGGTAACTGAGTTCTTGTGGAAGTCGGTATCTCATTTTCTATACTTGGGCTGTGTTGGTGTGTAAGACTGTGAAAGGGTGAGGGTATCGAGGAGATGGAGATCGCTGGGAGACCTAAACCCAAACATCAGTCTCGCAGCTTGCTTTCATCAGTCCACTGCAGTTACTTCACCCTCATCGATCGTGTCCAGCCTTCTTTTTGGTTCCTCCTCACTTTTAGAAAGCAACTCAGTTAAACACATCGTTTCTTTGCATTAGCATTGTCTTGACAGAATAGATCAAAGGAAAATATGCAGAGTAACTGCCTGTTTGATCAAGCTGCTTCTTTTGTTGACTGCTTTAGCGAACGTCTGCCCAACCGGTGCGGCTGACCCCCTGCCTGAGCAGAGGTCTGCACGACCTGTTCCCCGCCAGCTCCGCTGGGGTAGCGGGTGCCTACACGCTGGTGAGCAAGCTGCCCAAACCAGTGCTGCTTTGAATTATGCAATGCTTGCTCTGCCTAGAGGGGTAATCTTTAACAGAAGTCTAACATTTTTGCCTTGCTTGCATTTTTTCCACTCTCTTTCTCTTAAACCCAGTTAAACAAGGCGGTAAGTCTGGTGCTACTCTGTGTAGCTTGAGATGAGGGGAAAAATCCCAATTGGCACATACTAAGGAGATGAAACCACGTAGCTCTGCCTAATCATAGCCCTTGTGTCCTCTACAGTTTCCTGACAATGCTCTTGACTTTGTGGAGGGAAGTTGGAAAAGCGACAACAAAGAAGTCTCTGCTCATTTTTCCTGCTTTACTTACTGTGTATGTGCAGAGTCCAAGGTGCTTCCGACACTCATCGCTTTCCCTAAATGCAGCTCGCTCTTTAGATTTGAAACAAATGCATTTCAAGCTTGTCTTTAGTGAAGTTATGCACCTGATAGGCAATGTGTACAAGTTTGTGAAGACTGCAGGATGAGGAATAGTTCTCAACACTTCCATGAAATACACAGTGTGATTCTGTGCTGAAAAGCTTGGCTGAGCTCCGTCAATATTTTAATAGATACAGCTTCTCATTTAAAGAATAAGATTTTTATTATTTACAGTTCAGCTTTATAACACAGAAGACAATGAATGTGCTTATTTCATTTACTTAATATCTAGCTATTGAGGTGCCACACATAAAATGAAATTTGTCACGCACACTGATACTCTCTAAAACATACCCTTTTCCAGAGAGAATTTATCAGAAAAAATACTTCATTTTAAATTTAAATTTTCAATATTATTTCCAGTGGCTTTCTGATTTCAAGATACTGGAAAATAATAGAATTTGCATTTTGGAGTTGCAGGAATAAAGGCTGTATTTTAGAATAAATCAGTTAATATTTTGTATTATTTCCATCATTCTTCACATTTAGAGAAAACACTCTAGTGGTGACGCCAATTGTACTCACACTCTTTTTTCATGTACCAGAACTTATTTACATAAGAGTAATTTTATTTATACCTTTCTGTTGGGTTGTATAACTAATTTGTGTGTGTTTCCTTCTTTGGACCTCTCAGTGATATCTTCTTTGTAAAATCTCACCAAACTATTAAATATTTTCCTGAGGTAATACAGGCAGCCTTTCATCTAAATCTGTACTGCCTACCATACTGATAAGATTGGTCAAAGATACCTGGGGAAGACTTGGCAACTCCTCCTGTTTGCTCTGGCGTTGATCCATATCCATATCACATTCCACATTTATCCGCAGCCCTTCATCTCAATCTTGCTCAACCTTCTTCCATACCTTTCCTCATTTGCACACTGGTGGGTCCTCAACTAAGGAAAACATTTGCAGCTCTTTTTTTAAATTGTTTTTTGACTTACAGGGGTCCTGACTGCAGATTGCACGAGAAGCCCAACGGTGTCGAAGGTCCAAAAATCAAATGCTGGTCTTCAAAATCAGGCCTCTCATCTACCCAGAGAAATTATTTTAAAAGACTACTTAAAGTAATTTTAAAAGGCTTTTTCAAATAGTGGAAAAGCGTTTGTGAATAACTGATAGCGCACTCCTTAGTTCTCCTACAGAGTTTTCAGGAATTGCTGCTTTCACTCCCACGGTTCGGGGGTCATACTTTGTGCTGTTAACCGCTAAACATAATTGCACGTTTTCCAGGGCAGAAAATGGTTTAGTAACAAATATTTTACATGTTCTGGCTGTCTCTGCTGGGTTAAAGGTTTTTAAGTAAAAGTCAGTGCTGAGTATGGCATGTATAATTCAGACAATCATTGCACAAGCAATACAAAGTCCATTCATTATCTAATCAGAAGCTTTCTTTTTACCAAGCAAGGTCTCTATTTACTAACCTCATTATTTGCATTATTGTAGGAAAGTGGACTTAACTGCTGCTATTCAAATGAATTTTTTGTTCCCCAAGTAGCCTTTCCAAAAGTTAGTCTTTTATTTCAAGGTCTGAGTATGTACTCACTTCAAAGAACACAGTTTTACTAATTAACTGCAAGATATTCCCTCCTCTCAAGGGTGATTCAGAGTGCCTAGATTAGCCTCTTTCTCCGATTCACCTTCTCAATGGCAGAGCCAAAATCTGACTTCACTCAGGAAATTCAGTTTACTCTTGAACTCTCAAAACTGCCTTAATAAGCTTGAGCTTAAGAAGCCTTGCCTTAATAAGCCTTGACACACAAACATCTGTGGCTCACTTAAAACCTTGACTCTGGATCTGGTACTCTTGTTCCCTTGTAGTACGTGGCCACTGTTCAGGTCCAAATGGCTAGCGCTACACCTTGTGTGACGCTGATTTAAATAGTAGCCAGGAGGTAGTCTAGAGCACGAGCTGCTCTGCACCATGACGAGTTCACGTGGCTGTCATTCCTGCAAGCCAAACTTGCATAACTATCCAACTCTACCCTTTTCCCCAATTTCTTGTCCCACCTTCCTTGCCTGATTTGTAATCCAAGCTCTCAGGTTCCTTTCCAGAGCTGTAAACCTCCCTGGGAAGCAAGGAAGCCCCCCAAAACTTCCTTAGAAATATGCTTAGAAACATGGTGTGACTTCCTGTAACTATACAGCATGAATGAGCTCCAAAAATGTAATATAAACCACTCCCCACTATCAATCAAGGGGCATAGGAAGTAAAAAACACATTTTACTTCATTTAGTAAAAAAATCCTTGAATCTATTTGCTTGAATGGGCTAGGGTTGGGCTTAGTCTTAGAGCCTTTGGGCTCAGCCTTAGGGTTGAGGTAAGGGCCCGTTTGGGTTAGTGCCTATGAGTGTTAAGGGTGGGGTTAAAGTGAGGGTCATTAGGGTTAGACTTACGCTTAGTGTTATGGCCAATTAGTGTTATGGTTAGAGACTATTAAAGCTAGGGTTAGGGTTTGGTTTAGTGTTATGGTTAGGGCCATTAAAGTAAGTACTGGGTTTAGGGTTAGTGTTATGGTTAAGGCCTATTAGGGTTCAAGTGACTTTTAAGGTTGGGGCTTGTTAGGGTTGGGGTTATGATTAGGGTACTTTTAAGGTTAGGGCCTGTTAGGGTTAGGGCCATTAAGGTTAGGTTTAGCATGATGTCCATTAGGGCTAGGTTTAGGGCCTGTTAGGGTTTGGGTTCAGGCCTGTTAGGTTTCATGTGAGGGTTAGTACCTGTCCCAGTCTGTCAAATTTACAGGACAAGGTACTCCATGATTTAAACCTTATTTCATGAGCTCGTGAAGACATATGACAAACAAACAGGGGCTCAATCCCCTTTTACCCAGACCAGCCTCTCACTTGAGTCCACTTACTCAAGTGTTAAGGTTTCATAACCGATAACTCCTAATTTGTGCACCTATGAGCAAAACCAAAAAAAACCACATTATGCCTGTTAACATAATGAAATACAGACCTGGTATAATAGTAGCAGCTTTGAGAAGTGAAGACAAAGGACCTGGCCGGAAGGAATACCGGCATGAAGTGGTTAAGAGCGCTTCACGGCGTAGACAACAGGAGACCTCATGGTTATAAACAACTCAGCCAGACCAGCATGGGGAACAGACACATGGCTCAGGCCAACTCAAAGTACAAAAAACAAACAATGAATTAAAAAAAAAACAACAAAACAACCCCCAAAAAACCCACAACACAACTTCGAAGAGAGCAGTGGACTTGAGCTGCTTTCAACCCATCTATTTCTTCCTGACAATGAGGATGCTCTAGAGAACAGTAACAGGAAACACATTTATGTTGTTATTCAACTGTATATTGCTATACTTTAAGTCTATATATATATAGTGCGTCTACATACACACTATACTTTAAGTGTGACATGTACTTTATTATAATTTATCGTGGTTTAAGCACATTGCTGGAACACAGTGTTAATTCAAAAGTCTGTACCATTTCAAATGACTTCAGATAAGTAAACCTTGTATTAAGCATTAAACCTTCCCCATGAGGAGTACCTAAAAACCACACCGGTCAGAGGACTCTGACATGAGGTGAAGTGTGTGCAGCTGCACCAGTCTATAATCTGACTTGAACACATACTCGGGCTCAGAAATGCTCTTGGCCATATTTACTCAGACATAGATAGCAAACAGTTTCTCCTGTTCTAACCAGTCATCTCCTGCTTGCCCTATCCACTCTTAACGTATCTGAACCAAAACACCAGGAAAGACCAGAAGTAAAATTCAGGCAACTTCATATCTATTGGAATCATATCCTTCAGTCCTTATCCATTTTCTTCTACTGTAGAGTTCCTTGTGATCCCTGCTCCTCAGCTTGCTGGGAATGCAAAGACGTGGCAGGCTGTGAATGGTACCATCAAGCCTTGTCTTCTTATTTGTGTAGGTAGGCATCAAGCCAGAGCTCTCCTGAATTCTTCAGAGAGCTGAGAGAGAGAGAGAGAGAGCAAGAGGCCACATTATTGCAAGGTTGCTTAGGGGACTGTTGGTGGGGACAAGGGAAATGAGGGTTTCTGTGTGTCGATTTGTAGGAGAACAAGCCAGCTCTTGTTCTTGGGCTTCCAGTCTCTCCTACATCCTTCTGCAATGTTTTGCCAGCGTGTTGTTACTTACTGCACAATGTCTGCAAAAGCCGTGAGCAACGGCTTACATTGGTACTCAATGCCGTGTTTGGCACACAAGGACTTCACCAGAGGAGCCACCTTCCAGTAGTTGTGTCTTGGCATTGTGGGGAACAGGCTGTGAACAGGAGACAGACAAATTTTCTTCCAGAGCCCCATAAGAAATATTACCTTTGACATGTTCACATTCATTATTACTTCCCAGGAATCACCCAGCTCACACTGAGTAGGGCCTTCAGATACTCCTGGCTCTTCTTTCCCCTTGGAGTGCTTTTAGCACAAGTAACTCAGAAGACCTTCCTGCTTTCCTCTTCTGTTATTTTCCACCATTGTCTCTAGCATCTCTGAAGCTACATTTCTCCAAATTAAGTGATGCTGTGAACTGGAAGAAACTACTTCTTTCTCCACGAGTAACCATCTCCATAGCACAGAAAGGATATGAGCCCATCCTCCAGTTGTATATCTCAGTCTCTAGAGTAATAGTGTAAGTAGTCAGTATAGTTAAGCTTAAACTACTGTGTCAGGCTATAAACAGGGTGCCTTAGCATGTACAATTTCACTAATGCTTACAAACTCTACCTTGTTAGACCTTCTTGCTGTCTGTATGGTTTCATAGATCCTGACCACGTTCAACTTAAGCCAGTCACTCTCACCTTCCTGCAGGTCCAGTGAAGTCTTTTAATTATATTATGATTCTCTTTAGGGTTTTCAGTCTTTTTAAAAGACAAACTCATCAGTGCCTCACAAGTATTTGTAGAATTCAGGGCAAAGAGGAATAGGGAAAAGAAAAAGAGGAAAAAAACCTTTTTTTTTTTTTTAAAAAGAGGGAAGAAAATTCTCTCTCAGGGTGTATACTCACTGATGTTCAATCTGGAAGTTCAGATGCCCAGTGAACCAGTCGTTGAACAGAGACTGCTCAACATTGCACGTTGCCTGGAGCTAGAGGAGGGGAAAGGAAAGCAAAGTCAGTACAGATTGGTGACTGCAGCCTTTCGCGTTTGTCTAAAGAGCACAGTATGCTGTGCTACTCTGTTCTATTGTTTTCTTTTAGCCTAAGCTGAGCTACCTCAAGCCGGGGATCATAATCCTCCTTCAGCTTTGTGGACCAGCAGAGGTACGTAGACTGGCTAACATGGACCATGGTAAAACTAGGAGTTGGCTCTGTGCTTCTGTGAATGCGTGTGAACAGACAGTCAAAAGCTCCTCCTGGGTCTTCTCAAACCTATGTCTGCAGAAAAAGCAGAGGTGGCAGGGTTCTGCTGTGGTGGTCAGATTTTACTGGGCTCCAGTAAGCCTCTCTGCAAAGAGGGGACACCACACTGTCATTCTGCTAGTGCGAAATCGCTTGGCAAGGGCGGGACACAAACTTCCATCTCCACATAAGCAGAAAAGGTCCAAGACAGAGTGATGCAGTACGTGGGGAGGTGGGTATGTTTTGGAAATAGAGCTGAGACCTGGCTTTGATTTTAGATCGCTCATGAACATGTCATTGCTGTCCTCCTTTACCATTAGTGTAGCTGAATCCCGTTATCCTACTAACCTTCACTTCCCAGCTATCAACAGGTTCTCGCCCTTAGTGCAATAGAGGACTTGCTTGTCTTGTGGTTGGAGTTTGTACCTCTATGGCCACAATTCTTAAGAGTGGAAAATATTTTACCTGAGTAGACACCCAGTCCAAATTGTTGTCATAGTAAATATCCATAGGGATATGGTTCATCTGTGAAACCCAGACAAACCAGCTGCTCTCCAGCATCCTGTGCAATCAGACAAGAGGCCAGAATTCAGTGACAGGTAAGCAAGTCAATGATAAGCCATTGAAATAACAGCATAGCCCGACTTACAAACCCCTGGCTGAACACCAGCCTTGCTAATCCAGCACATGGAAGAGCTTCCAAAACCTGGAAGTTTCATAATGAAACTCGTGATTTTAATATGTTTCGTTATGAAACTGATGTAGCCTGTTACTCATCTTGTTTTATCTGTAGCCAAGGACCAAACTGGTTAGAATCAGTAAAATGATCCAAGTGGAGAATGTATTGTTCAGTCAAGCCAGTGCTGCTGGGTAATGCCTGGGCATTTGCAAGCCCGGGCTAAGCTGTTTCTGTTAAATGTTCTCTTTCTTTAACCAGTAGCAGACCCAACACCCAAAGCACTGAGTGTCATGTAAGGTAAGTATTTCTCAATTTGGGCAGCCCTCAGTGAAGTCTCTTTGCTGCCAGAGCCAATGAGGCAACATAAAATTTGAACTAGCAATTAAGCAGAAGAGTCTTAGTTTATCTTTACGGAATTAAAAAAACTAAGCAAAAAATGACGTGGTCAAGGAGAACGTGGAAAGATAAGCAGAGAAAAGCAGGCAGGCACAGATGGAAGGAATACACAGAGGAAGGCTGAAGAACCTTCTAAAGAGAGATCACCTGAATATAAAATAATATGCCAGGAGACTCTTTATTTCTAATAATGATCCATAAGTAAAAAAGAATCTGATATAGAAGGTCAGCATCCAGGCCAAGTCCTACCAAAACCAGAGACAATAAGAAAAGAAAATCATTATAAATTACATTTGCTTAGATCTTTTCCTGAGCTTCATGTTATATGTACAAGAGAACAGTCTACATTCAGCTTTTTTAGGTTTTTGCTGAATTGAATCATCTGGAGCAACCCAAGTTAACAGGACCTAATAACACTTTCTTTTCACGGCTTGCTGTGATAGAGATGAATCTGAGCATTCACGCCTAGTAAGCACGTGAACCTATTAGCCAATGACTATGCGCTCCGAAACGTGAATTGAAGACTCGTATCAAATCATTGCCCAGGACTCTACAGTGAACTAAGCGCTAGACCAACCATCTTGTTTTGGCTGGAAGTTGCTCTGTCCTCCGGTATGCATAACACACGCGAGAGAAGGAAGAGCGAAGCATTAATTCGGGCTCCCTGGTGTAGGAAGTAACGCCAAGCATATGCTTACTGCTAACAAGTCAACAACAACAGTTCCTACAAATCCACATCCTCCCGTTCCTGGCCACTATGGACCTTCCAATTTGCTTCCCAAACCAAAGGAACTTTCTGGTTCTGCAAATGAGGCAAAGCAGTACAAGCCAAGCAGCCTGTTGTTTTCAAGGCATTTATCATCGAGCTGGGATACAGAATGGGTTTAGCAGAAAGTGCGCACAGCCACTGAAAACGCTGCACCAAACTGTCACATTAGGCTTAACTGAGTGGTATACAGCATCGCACAGCGGGAGCTGAGCTCTGGACAGAAGCTGGCTCCACGTTCAGAAGAAAGGTTGAAGGCCCACAACTGACCCCTTCTTGGTTGCAATACTTACCACCCAATACCTTTTTGTATATGCAATATAAAATGTGTGGCAGTGGAAGTAGGTGGGAAACAGGAGCGGAGGAAGAGCTGTAAGGGAGAATTCATGATCACTGGTAACGCCACGGACTGGACGACACCTAATCAGTCTGGAAGCAAGGGATCCCTGAACAGCTGCTCAGTATGGAGAGTATTCTGGGAAGCTTTAGGGCTGCGGAATTTTCTGGATGATATCAGCATGCACCACCACAGACAAACAGTAAGCAATCTGGGAACCTGCTGACCTCACGAGGTAAGACGAGGTAAGACAAGATAAGACAAGAAACTCTCTGAAGCTTGACTGAGGACAGTTCCTGCTCTTCAGCACGACAGCCTGCTACTGCTTATGTCACCGGTCAACACAGGTAGGATGGCCTTCTGTTTCCTCAGAGAGAGCTATGGTCATGGCTTCGTTTAGAAAAGAGTGAAAGCAAAGAGGGGTGTGGAGAACCCTGAAAAATACGGAGGACAAGACCCCAGAAACTTAATAATCCTTTTGAGTACCACAGTAACCCCTTTGCACGGAAGTGACTGACGGATACTGGTTAGGATGCTATGCAGGGCTCTGAGCAACCTGATCTAGCTGAAGGTGTCCCTGCTCATTGCAGGCAGGCTGGACTACATGATCTTTGGAGGTCTCTTCCAACCCAAACTATTTTATGATTCTGTGATTAGTGCCTCTAAACGTGTCAAGGTCTGTCTGCTAATCTGATAGTGCTTACCCAAGATTTCATTTTAGGTTTCTAACTGGGGAACAGCCACAGAGTATTATTTCAAGAGGTGGCTTCCACAGCCCCAAAGCTTACCTGGCTCCCCATTCAGTTGTTCAAAAAGAGGAACAACAGGAATACATAGGAAATCCCTTGTCTACCAGGGATTCTGGGTTGCAAGAAGAACTCAAACTCAACCTTCCAGATGGACATCTTTGTTGTACTCAAAAAACAAAACAACAAATAACCTCACAGACTATTCTTTAAATTTGAATACTACTGAAAGATGTGGTACGACACTGTAACATGGGATCACCTCCCTTAACGAGGCATCTTCGAGTTGCCCGAGATAAGGCAGATCTGAACTAACTCTGCTAGTTCCGTCTAGCTACTTGAGAGGAGAGGCACTGCTGGAGTGCAGTTCCTGCCACCCTGAGAGGTCAAGGCAGAAAACAGGTCAAATGAATCACACCTTGAAAGTGCCCGTTTCTGCTGGGTTTTAGGGCTCAAATTCATACTGTCCTCTTTTTCAGCAAGCGTCCTAAGCAGCAGACCAGACTATTCCGGAGAGTTGCAAGAGGTGACATCTCCTTGTCCCGTGTTGAAATTGTGCTGCTTTGCAAGAGGAATAAAGCTTCACTAAGATGGGAAGAAGGGGGCAGGAGTGAGAATCTGGAGATTAGGGTACTGACAGTGGAGAAATTCTGAATTGTTCCTCTGCTCTCTTTATGCGCTTTATTAGCCATACGTTATACAAGCTCACATATACAGTCCCTAGAGCCCTCCCAAATAACTTCCTTAATTAGTGAATTAAGAGTCTGTCATCTTTTTCTCTATCCAAATAGATGTAGACTTATTTTTGCAGTGCACTATACTTTTAGGATGACCTGGGATAAGTGTACCCCGCTACTTTTTCTACCCTGGAACAAACTTAAGCCATTTGGTTAGAAATACATTCATTTGGTTTGAGAGTTTCAAATCAAGAAAGGCATAGAAACCTGATCTCGCATAGGGTCACATGATAATTCAGGCCTCAGGAAAGGACCTCAGGATCTCAGAGCAGCATCCACTATGAGGTCAGACCAGGTTACTTGGGATTTTATCCAGCCAGGTCTTCAACTCCTCCAAAAATTAGATACTAACTGATTATTATGTTCTTTGATGCAGGCATCTTAGTTCTGCCCAAGTCCTACAGGTCAAAAGTAAGATCTACAAGCCCCATTAGTACCCCTCATGGTATTGCAGGAGAATGGAGATACTCACTGATGAAGAAGTATTTGTGTTGGTGATTGTATGGCATGTATTTTTTCTTTTTGATCCCAAGCTGTGAAAAGAAACCGTGAAAGAAAAAACACAAACCTGAGTGAGAACTGAGCAATTTGTACAGGTAATGTGCTGTTTTCCATTCTTTCTTGCCAAGAGGCACTCTTGTTGCACGCTTCCCACAACCTTCATTCCTACTTTCTCCCTCTTGCGTACCTGTCCTATTAGTTTACATACATAATACTAAGGTCTATAGATGCTCATTTCATTAATGTACAGCTTTAATGCCTTACAGCTTTGTAAACTCCTTCAGAGATAAACTTTGAAGCAAGCATGCAATTTTAGGGGGGCCAAAATAAATTAAATAATTGATTGCTGAAAAGTAGCTCTAGATATACGTATGACAAGCCAAAACAGAGGTAACAGCCCATAAAAAAACCCTGTGCTGGTATATGGTAGGAAGGAAGCTGCTGTTACAGATACTGCCGTTGTCTGTGTTCGAACAGAACGATGTAGTAAAAACTATACCAGAACATTTCACCCATTAAAAGATGGTGTGATCTGTAAGTTATGATAAAAATAATTTTGAGGGTGGACAGAGGTCAATTTTAACTGTTGAATTTCCTTGGTTTTGTGTTCTTACCACATTCATAACTCATTTGGTGAAATATTAGATATTTCAAGGCTAAGTTATATTATCGGTCAAAAAGTCGCATGTATTTTCTCTCTTCCTTCCCTTCCCCCCTGACTTTCTTCTCCAATTTGATTCTTAAATGACAGTTTCATGCTTGCAAATGTCTTCCAAGGAGAAAAATATTTCACTGCTGTAGCTACTCGGGCAGGGTCTCAAGAACTGATGAAGTCCTACAGCAAAAGGGGTTCAGCATTGTCTTAGGTTGTCGCTCCTGGAAGTGGCCTAGCAGTGCAAGCTGAGAACATCCTACGTGGTCAGATGGCTTCTGCCCACAAGAGGGACCTGCCAACAACCTGTCCTACGGAGCTACAGGAACAGCCCTTGGTTATTCCGCCCTGCTGTGCTGGCTGCCTTTCACAGCAAGGCTTCTGCCTTCTCCTGGAAGGCATAGGCATGCCAAAGCCGCTTGTACCTCTGAGCCTCAGACACTGATATGAAAGCAGGCCAACTGCAGACTTGCTTTATATTAATGTTTACAGGTCATCTAATAATCATTAATTACGGAGTTGTTCTACTAGGTCATTAAGTTGCTATAACCATTAATAATCTTTTTGCTGATGGATTTTCCACCCTATGAGATGCACGTACATCATGTCTAATTTATTTACAACTTCTCACCTATTCAAGAAATTTTTAAAGGAACTTAACGTGAACTGTGACCTGCTAACAAAGGCTGAAGAAAGAAGAGACAGATGAAAGCAATCTTTTTTCAGAAACTGTCATCACATCTTAGTTTTATATCTTTATGGTACAGTGTGCTTTTTGTTGACTAGGGTGTTCTTCCCAGCTCCTGGTACCTGAGCATATGCACGCGTGCGCGCACACACACACACACACACTGACCTCCACAGAGAATTTCTTCCCCAAAGTAAACAAGAAAGGGTGCATATCAATATCAGGGTCTTTCTGGAAGCAGTTGGGTTTGGCATGGTGCCGGGAGTGCAGAAGAGTCCACCATTTGGCTGATGCCCCCTGTTTTAGTGAAGAACGAGGTATGAGAAGTACAATACTCTCACAGCCACATTCTCTCCAATTCCCCTCCTTTGCCCAATGCTGAACACGCTATCCTCACAGAGTCTTCGGAACACACACTTCTACAGGAATGCCATCAAATCTAAGAAGTTTTTCCAGGGTCGGGTACTTACAATCAAATGGCACATCACAAACTTATGCAGCAAGTGGTTCCACTTGGTCTTCCTGAATACTGAAAGATGTCCTAAATCATGTTGTAACCATGAAGCCTGGACCTGCAAGAGGAAAAAGAAAACATTGGGAGGGGAGGAGAACTAAAGAAAAAAAAAAAAAAAAGGAATCAAGACCAGGACAGTGCCACACCCATCCTTTCCTTTGAAATATCAAGACCTATTTCTTGGACAGTGCTCTAAAGTCACAATCAGAAAGAAACTATGAAATCCTGATACGCTTGAAGCTTCCCATAGAAGAGATCTTGCTGAAAGAATCCCAGACTAGGTTTAGTGGGAGCTCCCTATATGCAGAATTTCTTCTTTACGTGTTCTGTAAACACATGCCACACGGTGGCTGTCTTCTAATAACAAAGGAGAACTCTATAAAGTATGGAAACGGAGGGCTACAAAACCTCAATAGTATTATGTGTGTGGAAGTTCATGCCAGTCCGTATGTGTATGCTATGGACTTAGTTGCTTACCTGGGAAATGGTCAGCACCACCAGAGAGACAATAAAGGGCATTAAGGATGTCCCAAAGTAGAGGAGAATGAGCCAAGCAGCAGTATCCAACAGGAGGATGTGAGCGAGGTGCAGGAAGAAGAAGAGTTGATTTGGCTTCAGAAGTCCCATTTTCTCAACAGTAGCACGCAGTTCACGGAAGTCTTTCACCAGCATTTTCTGTGGGAAGTACCAGTGTTACATCTTCCCTGTTTCTAGAGTGTAGCACTACAGCCTCAAAAGCCAAGGACCACTTTAATGGAGGAAAGAAAGAGCAAAGGATCTGGCCAAATGGGCAAGAGCTGAGCTTGCACACAAGTACACTTAATCATTGCTCTCCTACAGCTTTTCTGCATCTTTGCCTGACAGAGCAGAGGAGAAAGCAGCAGCCGCCACAGAGCACAATGTCTGTAACCCCAGCCCCTAAGGCTGTATCTTTGGTGCTTCTGCTCCTTCCATCATCTTAGCAGGTAGCACAGGGCTCAGACGGAAGCTGTACTGTGTGCGCATGAACGTAGCATGCCATCTTGTGGTAGGTCTTTGGGATGAAGTTATTCCTCTTCTGCCACCAGTTCCAATAGATCAATGTATGTTTTCACTTTACTCTTCCCAAGGTTAACAGGGGAGGGTTAAATGCCTGGATGAAAATGGCACCTACAGCCCGGCTGGCCTCGGGCTGGTGGGCACTGAGGAAAGAGGATGGAAGGAAAAATGAGAACAGCGCAGGTGCTGACCAACCCACCTTCGGCTTTGCCAGCTCTGCAGTTGCCTCCCAAGCCCGATTCCTGTCTCCACGCAACCAAGCCCCCAGAGGAGGTTGCCAGCCTACTTTCCCAATCATTTAGGGGAAATGGAGTTTGCATGGAGCAAGGCACATGCAGGCTCTGGTGCAGGCCAGCTATGGGATCAAGAAATAGGCAGGGCACGGCCACAGGTGGGTATTGCGGGTTCGTGAGGTTCCCACCTACATAGGAAGCATGTCCATGCCCTTCTGGGGCAGCCAGACTTTTCTGAGTTGTGTTTCTAATGCCCGAGTTACATGGGGCCATGTATCATCCTGCTCTTCAGCACGCAGTATGGGACTACGCAAAGAAAAAGTCAGGGCTAGGAGGAGTGAGGAAACCAGATAGTCTGGGATAGCGGGAAGAAATGAGAACCGTACAGCCCAGGGAATATTTGTACTCCAAGACTATTCCTGTTCTGTTGTCTGTGCCTCTCTCATGAGGTTTTCTTTGACATACCAGATTGGTTACTCTCAGTGCCATCAGCAGTGCTTCTGTGAATGGTCATGCAATTTGACCAGAGAGTGCTGCAAGAAGGCTGTCCAAAAGGGCGAGGCCAATACCGCCTGTGAAATTCAATTCAAGGCTAAAACACTCTACCTGCAGTCTCTCCCTACTATTTGCAGCTGATAGCAAATTTTCTCCCAGTCTAAAATTTTACTATGAGCTGGAAAGAATTACTGAATTTTTCGTTAGCTCTTTCTCAAAGCAAGGGAAAGAAGAAAAGGTGATGGATGTGATATTCATGAGAGCAAAACAAGGCTTTGCTGTTTATGTAGTGTTGCTTTGACAGGAAAAAAAAATCATCTTGGGAATCTCAAACACATAATGAGGATTTAGACTAATATTCATGTAGTATTTCTAAGTAGTAGTACAAAAAAAATTAAGGGACCTGGATCCCATTGTTCCAGGAGCTATGCTGATACAGAACAACAAGGTCTAATCTGAGAATATTTCCCTTCATTCTATCTTTGATCTGATTTATGAGGATAGACTTACATTTTTAGTGGGCTCAATACTGGGTTGATCTGGTGCCAGCTCCCCAATCTGCAGTGACTTCAAGTACTTGCTCACCAGCACCTTGTCAACATGGAATGCTACAAAGGCATCCTGCAAATGCACAAAAGTAAAGGAAGGGTAAGAAAACCAAATACTATGGTACTAACCTGCATCTCCTGCGCACAGCAAGACATTCACTGTAGAGGAACCACAATGGCGAAGATGGCTGGTTTACCTTCTATCCCCTTAAGCTCTTGACCTTTTCCTCCTCACGTTTGTCTTGTGCTCTTCTTAAATAAGATCTTATTTCAGCTGGCAAACAGAAGAGTTCTGACTTCCACCACTGCAATTACTACAGGTATGCAAGCTCCATAATACAAAATTGAATGAGTCTTCATTGTACATCTAAAGCAGAGTCTAGTTTCCCAGCCTTTCTTCTTCCCCCTCTTCTCCACACCAATATTAGTGACTTTTCCATCTCCCTGGCTATCCAGGTGCCCAAAAGACCTTTCTTATCAGCAGACCGGAATCTTTGTTGTGCAATTTGTCAAAAAGAGAAAATTGCCCTTTAAATCCACCGGCTTAAAAGAAAAATGTGCTTCCTCTTATGAAGAGACAGGAGGGATTTTAAACTTTCAGAAATACATCCTTTTCAGAGGCTGCACTCTTACTCTTCCCAAAATAGCCATGCAAGAGACTCAAGACTCCTCTTATATTAAGGATACCTAATTTTGGGAAACCAAACTGCAAGAAGTAAGTTCTGAAGGAGGAGGAGGAGGATAGGTGACAGCAATGAGAAGCCTACTTCAAGAGAGGAGTCAGAACAATATTCCAACCAGCTCTGGGTAGAGAACTCCACTCCCAAATTAGCGAAGACAGGAAGCATTTCATCAAGGGCCAAGTGATACAGAGAACTTCCTATTTTCTCTAGTACTGGGAGGTATTCGGAAGGAAACGAATGCAAGGACACAATTCATATGTACAGGTCTGGTGTTACTGATCTCAAAGATACGAGCATGAAAAAGCAAGGCTGTGATAGTCTTTAGGCAGGGCTGGGGACAAAAAGGACAGGATCATAGAATCTTTGGGTTGGAAGGGACTTCTTAAGGCCATCTAATCCAACCCCCCTGCTGTGAGCAGGAACATCTTCCACTAGAGCAGGTTGCTCAGAGCCCCGTCCAACCTCACCTGGGATGTCTCCAGGGGTGGGGCATCCACCACCTCTCTGGGCAACCTGGGCCAGGTTTCACCACCCTCAGTGTGAACAATTTCTTCCTTAGATCTAGTCTAAATCTGCCCTCTTTTAGTTTAAAACCATTACCCTTGTCCTATCAAGGATGCAGATAAGCAGAGGAGACAACTGCATTGACAGAGCACGAAGGGAGCAGCTGGAGCCCTGAAGGGAACAGGAGTGCACACTTGGATATGCCATAGCTGCCCAGTTACTGCCCAGTTACTCTGGGCAAACGTTGACGTGTGACAAAACGAAGGTCTTCAGCTAATCTCTTTGAGAAAACTGCTACAGGATTTCTGTCCTCTATTCCAAAGTGACCTGGGCTTGAGCAACTGCGTGATAATTAACACTGAGGCGTGTGTGTAACATATGGTGGGTTTAAATACCGTGCACATAATTACTGTCACTGATGAATCCAAAAAAATCAGCAAGCAGTTTCTCTGCAAAATAATCTACTGCAAGTACCTGGTTATTTCATGATGTTGCAACACTAGGTGTTTTTACAGTCTCCAAAATTCAACCAAATTTTGCCAAATTCAGCCAAAAATTCCAGTCTCAAGATTGTTGTTCCTGTTTTCTAAGTCAGCTCATTCCTTACTCTGCTCTTCTATCCTTTGTGAGAAAACACCACAACAAAAAAAGCAGCAGTAAAAGGACTCCCCTCCACAGTTTTGTGCAGTGTCACCCTTACTAATATTGTGGCAATAATCATACTCATTTCTCCACTCCTCAGGTTTCTTTTCTTACTGAGAGCCTTCTGTGTTCTTCATCCTCTCCTAACTTATCATCTTTCAGGGCTCTATGCTCTTGGTATAATCTTCCAGTCAAACTAAGATAATTTTTTTAATTTTTCATAATATACATCCAAAAAATTAAGCAATTGACCTATTCCAAGGTGCACAGACCTCACTAAAGTCTTATGGATTTTCTTAATAAATGCTTCTTTCACTTCTTTTTGTCTCTGCCTCCCAGACTAACTAAACAGCCTATTGAATTCACACCATCTCATGAAAGTTCTCTTAGTAACAAAGAGGAGTTTCTTACTTCACCCGCAACGTCCTGGATATATTCCCACTGCAATTCAGTGTGGATATAACTAAGTTTGCTCTAAACAAGAAGGTTCACACATCATCAGGCTACACAGGAGAACGCAGAAGTCCGCGCACACACTAATTACCCTGCTCTGTTAGGGGCCGACTGGTGCCAGCATGGCTTTCTCTGTACCGAATTACACGAACCTGGACTACAGACATACTTATAGCAAATATTCCACCTTTTTTACTCTCTTCCACAGGTTTTGCTGAGGCCAAGACACACAGCTTGCAAGTGTGCAGAGTTCAAGCAGGGCAAGATACTCCAGTATCACATGTATCAATTTGCCTTGGAATAAATACATATTCTGAATATCGTGCCTTCTCAGAAGTGATGAGGCTGTTGTTATCCAAAAGGGTTATCCAAAAGTGGATGAAGATTTAGGTGTTCCTCAGCATCTCTGGAGCAAAGTAAAAACCTTTCCTATTAATTCCACTTACAGCCCTTGAGCTGAGGTTTTATCCTATATGCTTAAAAAGAGAGCGGGGGAAATAACTGGGCATTTTTCCCATTACGGTGCACAGCTTATTTCATGAGCTTCACACTTGTCTGTGAAGACAGTTGAGCTGGTGTCACACAAAAGCGGCTGGAGTCTTGTAGGGTTTAATGATTTGGATGTGGAACCAACCAACAAGAACCAGCTCAGATCCCAGAAACAAAATATCTGCATTTTCCAAGTTTATCCCTTGTCTGGCATATTCCAGCATGCTAAAACAAAAGAAATCTGGCACTACTAAGTGGACAAATGAGCACTGGAAGATACAGAATGCAGCTAATACAGAATTTGGAATTTAAACTTGGTGGACTGAAAATTGTTTTTATTCCCACGAGCCTCAAATACATGGAGGCTTATATGCATCCTTATATACGGAAGGTCACGGAACTATTTGTCTTGGGTTTTTTTCTTTCAAAATACACAGCAAGGAAGCAACTGCATTTGTCACGTCTTTGTACAGGTGTTCATTTACCACTATTTTTCTACCCTTCCTGCATATACCAGGAGGCTTGAACTCCAGGGAACTTGCTGAACGTTTTGGCGTGCGTTTACCGCAAGTTTCTGTGGCATTAAAATTGCGGTCAGACGAGGAAAAGTGAGGAGCAGAAGGCTTTTTGCCCACAGACTGACTCGCCAGCCATCGGACTCAACCGGCCAGGTCTTTCAGTTTTGTTCAAGGACCATATGCGGTAAGAACAGAAACTTTCCTGGAGGACGGCTTGGGAAAGCCTGCTGCCTTTGCTTGCCCCCCGGGTGGCATTCGGCAGGGATACCTTTCCCAAAGGTATGTTTTTGGAAGCAGCTGCTGTAGTTGCCACAGGGCTTGTGGCAGCTTCGCCAGCTTGCCCCGGCTGTAAGCCACCGCTGCAGCTCGCGGCAGCTGCGAAAGCGAGATCAGGAGATAAGAGTAATCCTAAAGGTTTCCGCTGGGTAACCGGTTAC